TACCTTACTACTACCTTACTACTACCTTACTACTACCTTACTACTACTACTACTACTACTACTACCACGACGACGACGACGACGACGACGACTACTACTACTACCTTACTACTACTACCTTACTACCACCTCACTACTACTACCTTACTACTACTACCTTACTACTACTACCTTATTACTACTACCTTACTACTACTGCGTTACTACTACTACCTTACTACTACTACCTTACTACTACTACCTTACTACTACTACTACCTTACTACTACTACCTTACTACCACTACCTTACTACTACTACCTACTACCTACCTACCTACCTACCTACCTACCTACCTTACTACCTACCTACTACTACCTACCACCCACCCACCCACCCACCTACCTACCTGCCTACCTACCTAACCTACCTACCTACCTACCTACCTCCCTACCTACCTACCTACCTAACCTGCCTGCCTGCCTGCCTACCTACCTACCTACCTATACTACTCCAGGTTGTTGTTGTTACAATGACAACTACTCTAACAGCAACAACCAAAAATGACAACCGCGAAAACAACGACGACTCTGAAGGATGTCCTTTGTCTCGCAGCAGCTGCTCGCAACTTTTCTGCTGCTGCTGCCATAGAGCTTCGCGGGCCAGCGCCATTGGGCGCCTTGCAGGCGCAGCTGGGTGCTTGGCTTAAATGACGCCTGACCTGCGCTGGGTCTTCCCTGTTAGTTTTGGGTCACCACAACGAACACCCACGCCCTCAGCGCCACTCACACCTCCCGCCTTGACTGCCTTGACTGGGAGCGTGAAACCTTCTGGCGTGTCTTCAGCTTCGATGTTTACCGCCAAAGGAGACCCCCAGTTCTCACCTGGCACGGCATGAGTCTCAAAGATATTGCGCTGCGTGGGCCGCGCAATCAGCAGAAGTTCGCGCTGAGGAGATTTTGGCGACACCAGAACGCATCCCTTGAAAAGCCTTCACTTCCCTCGTCCAGGACACACCGTCTTTACACGCAAGGAGCACCAGGCCACTCATCCACAAGGTCAAAGCTGATCCAGCCTCAATCAAGCGATCTTTCCTGTTTTCTTTCCTGTTTTTTCCCTGCCCGTCCCCACATCATGAATCAAGCCCGAAGTGAGTGACCCCGTGTCCACCCCGCAACCAGGACTTTGCGTGTCCCCACGCGAGCGCTTGACGAAATCTTGCGTTGAGTCTAGCCTTGGAACATATCAAAGAGTTTGTCGGCCGCTATCGGCTAGGCACCTTTTGTGACTTAGGTACATGGCAAAGGTAGATGGAGCAGGCGTCCCATCCCACGTCCTAGGACATACGAACATACGCGGCGTCCTGCGAGCTGGGGCGCTGGCTGCCGACTACCAACCCAGGAGGCGCTTGGCCTTCAAGCAGCAACACCCAGAACCCGTCGATTGTCTTTCTTCTCGTTCCACTGCAAGTATTTCAGATTATTTCCCGAACAGGTTTGCAGGGAGGGGTTCTGAAACGATCCTGGGCCCTTCAAACATTATGGGGTTTGATAGATGATTGATTTTCACTGAAAATTTTTGCATTCTACTATTCATTCCTTCCACTATGAAAACCACGACGTCTGAAATCTGATATGTTACAACATCAGGTCTGTCAGGTGACTGGGGTCTGCACTTTTCTTCGTGATCTTTGGGGGGGCGGCTCTCAAACCTTGGCGCAGAACGCCGGCTGTTCCAATCACAAAACCTGAACGAAAAATTGAAGCCACAAAACGTTAAGACAATGCCTGACTGAGTATGCTCTGTGTCTCACCAACCGACCAACCAACGAATCAAGCAACCAACTCCCGGTACAGCTGTGGTTTGCTCAACACCCGGCGCCCAGCTGCACAACAGCGAAAGCTAAGATTCTCGGCTCTGGGGGCACACCATCACAGGTGACCTTAGAATTGTCAAGATTATGAACTAACACATATTTTAGCTATTCTATACCCAGCAGACCTCAACCCTCTGTCAAGATCTTGCGCGGAAAGGCCTTGCACGACTTGCATGCGTGCGCGTGTGTGTGTGGTATGTATGTATGTATGTATGTATGTATGTATGTATGTATGTATGTA